GTGTAAGCAGCTTTTTTATTTTTTAATTCTATTGGTATCTGCAGGTAAATCAGATAATGGATCTGGGTTTACAGATCTTTAGAAACGCTGTATATATATGAATCTGATTGCAATTATGCTCTTTCTAAGCGTATATGTTAATGTATTTGATAATGGGTACGTGGATTCTGAATTTTTGGATGCATTTGATTGATGGTGTTCTTTGGGTTAACATAACTGCAAATAAATTTGACTGGAGTATCACACTGTTTGCACATTTAGGTGAATTTAGTTATAGGTATTTGGTTTTTCAAATTAATGAGAAAAAGGACTTGGGGATTTTTAGTTTATGCGGGAAGGAGAAAAATTTATCAGCAAAGATGCGTATATAGTTGGTTTCAAATGTTATTTAGCACAGAGGTCTAGTGTACACTGGCTTTTGATGAGAAGGATAAAGTTGAGTGCATGAGTACATTATTGTAGTCAATAGTTATAAGGAAATTTTGTTTGCTGGTTTTAACTTTTGTTAACTATATTGATGAATTTGATAATAGGTGTTGGATCATATTATAATGGGAACTAAAGTCTTGTTAATTTCACTAAACCGTTGAGTTTGATTTTGTAGGTTTTGATTGACTGTTGAGCTTGATTTTACGCATTCTGAGCTTCATGGGATTTGAGTTGTTAGGATATTTAATTTATATGTGCTGTAATGCAAGTTAATCCTCCATCCTACAGTTTCTTAGCTGTGCAAAATTATGTATGTTTATTTATTTTTGAATTGCTGATTTTGATTGTTGGCATGTTTTTGTTTGTGCTTATCCATGGGAATAGTTAGCAGTATATCTTAATTTGTGAAACTTGCTATGGTGGCCTTCATTTTCGTATATGTTTTCTATATATATGGGACACTCTTTGGCTCTATGCTGGAAATATTGGCAATGTAAACTCACATGAGTCATTAATAAGGCAAACTCATATCTTCATTCTTCTCTGTTTGAATGATTTCTATCCCAATTGCTGACAATTATGCTTATGATATTGTGTGAGTCCTTCCTCCTTTGTGGAAAATCATGTTCGTCTTGTATACTTGTGTTCTAGGTCAGTGAGACTTCTAAAATAATCTGTTGATAAGCATGTCAGTGAGACTTCTAAAATAATCTGTTGATAAGCATGATAGATTTCGAGTAAAGATTATGTTCTTTTTTCTCTCTGCAGATTCTAAATTGGATGATTTCCCCCTAATAGCTAAAATTGCAGGCACATTTTACTCGTCTGAAAGTTTGAAGTTGTTTTCTCATGTTAATCATTGGTTCCTTACCATTTCAGGGTTTCCAAAGGAGTGAGGGATTTACCAGGGAACTTGCAGTCTGCCACTAGCAGTGTTCCTTCAGGAAAAGCGCTAATGTATTTTGGTTTACTACTGGCAACTGGTGTGTTCTTCATCTTCATCGCATTTACCATGTTCCTTCCAATCATGGTGCTTATGCCCCAGAAATTTGCTATCTGCTTTACCCTTGGATGTGGTTTTATCATTGGATCATTCTTTGCTCTCAGGGGTCCTCAGACTCAACTAGCTCACATGACGTCAAAAGAGGTACCACTACCATACCCATCTAGTAGGATATTTTAGGTTTAAAAAAATGTATTCTCAGTTACTTAAAAGTAGCTAATTTGAGAATAAAAAATTACATATAGAAAGGTAAAAAATAAATCAATGGAGACAAAAAATTAGCAGCTATTAAAAGTTAGGAATATTTTGTAAAGTTTAGGAATATGTTGCGTTTAGTTATCAGCATCTAATAAGGACCCGACTTGTTTCTTACAAAACATGTAGATTTTTTAACAGAGTTCTCTAGAGTTATTTATAAGCAATCTGAAGAATCCACTAGCTCTAATTGTATTGTTTGAAAAAAATTGTACCTAAGATCTTTTAATGGTGTGACCAATGACGTTAACCAATTTGATATTACTGTCAAATCTTTTCTTCATTTTTGTATTTCTCATTGGGCCTTTCATGCAGAGGCTTCCACTTACTTTGGGATTCATAGGCTGTATGGGGGGTACAATATACGTTTCGATGGTGCTTCACAGCTACGTACTCTCTGTACTCTTCTCCGTGTTACAGGTACAAAATGTGAAACTTGCTTTGCTTTTGTTCCACATAGGTTTTCTTTTATGTTGTAAAACTGTGAATCCCTTGAAGTAGATGAGCTATTTTTCTTGACACAAAAGCCAAGATATGTATGCCTTGTAATGGTGGTGACCATATGATGCAGAACACATACTAACTTGTTCCGTGGATGGTTTAGTAAAAAAAGATTAGGTGGAAAAATAAGAATTGAGATATGCGGAAGGAAAGAAATAATGGAAAAAACAGATTGAATGGAATTGGTTAGACAGAATGACAACCAAACGAATGAACAGAAGGAGAGAGAACAAAGAAATCCTAACAAAGAAATTCTTAACTCATCATCATCTGGGTATTGTCAATAGCTACTGGGCGTTATGATGCAGAATGAGTTAACACATTCCTAAATAAAGTAGCAATTATGATTATATAAAATATAAAATAATTATCCATGTAGGAGTCTATTATTATATTATTTAGAAGTATTATTATAATTTTAATAATTTAGGATTTCTTATCTTATTAATATTCATAATATTATTAGAATTAGTTTTTTATTCTTATTAGAATTGGTACTCGTGATTTTACCAGTTTACTATTTCTTATTTTAATTCACTTTAGTAAAGATTGCTCAGAGATTATTATAAATACCTTGTAATTTAACTTCTTAGGACATTCAAGTTTTCAATAATATATTTTGAAAGTTCTTCATTTTTCTGGTTTTGTGATGCAATTAGATTCTTAATTATAATGCTTAGGACTTGTTAGATATGATGCTCAAGGAACCTAGGTCCGATGTCTAGGTTCTTTATTTTTTTAACTCTGAAGTCCTAGTTGGATAGATCAATCCTATTTATCCTACATCACTTGATATAGGCATTGATCATACTCAGAAAAGAAAATTATAAAAGAGAAAATCTAACAGATTTCTAATTCTTTAACACTTTAAATATAAGTAGGAAACTAAAATATTATAACATTTAAATACATCTAAATAACTTAAATAAACTAAAAACACAAAATCATAATAACTATTCCAAAAGAAAATCTTCTTTTATTCAAAAAATTTCAAAAATAACATCTTTTCCATCACTATATGATGACTTGGTTTCCTCAAGGCAAATAATTAATACTACAAATCTGTACTGACATTGCTTTGTCCTGAAACCACTATGGCAGGTTGTTGCGCTTGCATACTATGCCATATCCTACTTTCCTGGTGGATCTGCGGGGATGAGATTCTTAACATCTGCTCTAACCTCCTCAGTAATGAGATGTTTTGGAAGGTAGGCTTTTGCCTAGTTTGGGATTCTTATTGCCCTATTTCCCTTGTATAATTCTTAAGGTTCTACTCTTGACTTAATACTTGCCAAAACTGACTTAGAACGCCGAGTAATATTTGCTTTACTTTGCGATAACCCAACTCTGAGATTTAAGTGACTCTCTATCTCACATGATTTTCCAGAAACGGATTGACAAGTTTGGATTAATTGATAGCAAGGGTTCCGATATTAATTCCTTCCGTAGCATATATGACCAAGAGTAGGTTATCGACGTTAAGACTAGAAGATTTCCGAAAAAAGTTTTAAGAAAAATAAAACTCTAGAATGGACTATAAATTGATAACCCTTTTACTGATGGATTATCTCATTTTTACCCGAAGAGTCATTCTTTTTTCGAGTATATTCTAGTGCTATCATGTTTCTAAGCTAGTCGAATTTGCTTAACCCTTGAAGTTTATTTTCAATAAATAATTGGGTTCTTATAAATTTTATTTTGGAGATTTGAGTAGAAATTTGACTAAGAGTTAGTAGTGGTAAAGAGGTAACAAATGTTTGATGGAAAATCAACTTGCAGTAGCTGGTAATGGGCCTATTGCAGGCCCAATTTAGGTCATTTCCCAATTTTTGACTTTACCCATTAGCTTTCTTGGTAAATAAAGTGAGATGTATTTATTAGTCCTTTTTAGGACGTAGCAATTAAGTTAATTTTAATGTTGGAAATTTATTATAATTTATTTTTTAATATTTTTTTTAATAAAAAATTAAATTTATTAGGTTATATTTAGATATTTTTTTAAAAAAATGTCTTTACTTAAATGAATTAAACCAATAAATTAATAATAACAAAAAGGGTATAATTTTATTATTAACCAAGTATTAGTCAATTATCATTTCACTTGGTAATTAATTTCATTATATATATTTATGGTAAATTAATAATTCACTTTATTTTTAAATAATTGTAACGACTCTGAAAATATTTAAAAAAAAATGAATGATAATTAAAGTGCGGAAGCGAAATAAATATTTAAGTTTTATATTCCTTATACAATAATTTAAGATACCAATTAGTGTTTCGAAATTCACTATTTTAAAAAGAATACAAATAAATAAGGAAATGAATGGAAAATAAAGAAAACTAGCATTCTACTTGCAATTTTTTTGCGGATCGGACTCTGGATACTGATTCTCTTTATTTGAAATGATTAAATAAAGGATGAACTATATTATTTCAGTAAAAATATCACACTATATTACTGATACAGAAATAAAGATTGATAGAAAAAATTAAAAAATAATTAATGGAGCACTAAATTAATCAAATTCATTTATCAATAATAAAATCATTTACCGTTCACTTACCGTAATGATATTTATAGAAAACAACTTATATAAAACAATAATATTACATATATCATGATTCCGTATATAATTGATAACATAGCACATATTATACTTTCACATTCAAATCATCAAACAACAATTACCTTTTTTTCCACCAGCCTGCTGGTATTCATTGGAGTTCATATGGATATTTTTGCTACGCGTTAACATTTTCCTTTAACATTCTCAATTATGGGTCATCCCCATACCCCGTCCGGTATGAGCGCCAAGTTACCAAGTCTCCATACCCCGTATGGTATGAGACACGTTCACGGTAGGGTTCCCTATGTACCCTGTTCGTCCACCATCTTACAAGATGTCTAATAAAGCTGTCCTTTCATCTAATTACTTAATCACACAAATTTTCCATTTACCTTTAACCTCCATTTTTCTAATTCAACCGTAATACATAAAATAATAATACATGCGTTCAAAACTATAAAATAAATCAATAAGGCACTATCATGCATTTAAACTGTAAAAACATTCAACAGAAATTAATAGAGAATAGTTTCCGATTCTGACTCCATTAGTAATTCGTAATTAATCACGAACATTTTTTAAATTGTACAAAATACCGTATTTATTGTTAATTATACTTTAATTCTATAATATATAATAGGGTGAAGGATTCTTACTCAATTTGATACCCGAAAGATTAAACTATTAACTGCGCCCACCGGCGGTCTCCGGATTCCGTGAATTTTTCTTTGGGAATTAAAACGTGCTATAAGTACCTATAAATATCCTAAACAAATCTTAATCAGTCTCAGTGTAACAGCCCCGGAAATTTAAAATGGAATTTTATATTCAAAAATATCAAATGCGGAAGCGAGGTCAAAATTTGAATAACATCCCTTACACTGAAACCGAAACGTGCTCACAACATATAAAAGATTAAACTACCTAAAGGAGAAACTTGAAAGTAAAAACTACGAATGTGACTATGGAGTCTTTAGGCGTCCCCTTCGTCGTCCTCCTGCGGAATCGGCTCGGGAACGATATCCTCTTGATCTGAAATAATTAAATAAGGAATGAGCTACACTAGCCCAGTAAAGACATCACGATATCTCACCGTCACGGAGGTAAAGGTGGGTAGAAAACACAAAAAGACCAATGGAGCATAATTTACAACAAATCCTTTTTATCGATAAATAAACCTTTACCATTTACTTACCTCGGTGAAATTAATAAAACAATATACGAAAGCAATAACATCATCATCATCATGGAAACATATATATGAACTGTATAACATAATACCTATCACACTTTTCGTAATTCAATCGTTACACAACATATTTTCCTAATTCACCAGCCCACTAGTATCCATGGGGATCCATAGGGGTCCCGCTACCCGTTAATCCTTAACACTTGAAATCAAATTCCAGGGCCGTCCCCATACCCCGTATGGTATGGGCGCCAAACCATAAACCTCATTACCCCGTCCGGTATGAGGGTGAAACGGGCCGTCCCCATACCCCGTCCGGTATGGGCGCCAAAACACATAAGATCTCCATACCCCGTCCGGTATGGGAGACCACAATCCCGGTAGGGTTCCCTACGGACCCGGTCCGTCCACCATCTCTCAGGATATCTAGTCAGGCTGACCACATTATACCATTATCCATTTACATAATTGTTCATTCTCTTTTTCCTCAGTCAGCATCATTAATCCACATACAAGCAAGCAAAACGATAATTTATGCTAAGCAGACAACATACAGCATCAATATCCCGGTCATTTAATCCATAGTCAATAAAACAGTAAAACATGGACACGAAACTATAAAATGAAAACATCGAACCTCATACTACGTTTAAAACTGTAAAACAGGCCAAATAACAATTAACCGACAAACACACTAGACTCGGGCTCCATTAACGACCTTAAGCAATTTCACACATTCGTTGATTCATGAAATATCGTTTTATCATTTATTGAACTTTAAGACCGTGATAGAAAATAGGGTGAGGGGTCCTTACACGTTTCGGGGTCCGAACACGGCTTCACAGTGCGCCAACAGGCTGTCCCTAATATTCCCTGAATTTTTCTCGGGGAACTGAAACGCACTACTGGTACCTGCACGTGTTCCAAAAAATCCCAAATTAGGCCCAGGGCCCCTTTCGGCCAATATCGCAACTCCGGCACGGTGGCTCCGCCGTGCTCCGGCGACGGCGCCGCCGCTTGCGACGGCGGTTTGCCTCGGGTTGGCCATTTTCGGCCGTTTCTGGCCGAATTCGGCCACACTCGCATCGGTCCCTGTGAGAAAACAACCCTAGGGCCCTCGGGGGGCCAAAAAATCACGGAAAAACGGAGCTTACCGGCGGCGGCGCTCTCGGGTGCGGCGGCTCTCCGGCGAGGTTCATGTTTTGGTGATTCAGCTCCGGTCAACCTGTAGAGAAAAGAATGATGATCACGGTGATATAAAAATTGCATCAAACGGAGGCCGGGAAGGGCCTCATCGGAGGCAAAAACCGAGAAGGGGCGCGGCGGCGCCGCTGGGCTTCGGCCGTGTATTCCGGCCGTTTGGCAGGGATTTTAGCTCCGATTTGGCCACAGGAGGAATCAGCGTGGAAAAACGAGTCGGGGGTACGAAATTTACCTCGATCGGCGGTCAGAAGTTCCTCCGGTGCGGCGGCGAGTGGCGGCGGCCGGCTTCTGGTTCGTCTTCTCCGGCGAGTGGCAGGCGGCTAGGGTTTGTGGTCTGGTGTGGGGGTTCTATTTATAACCCCTTGCCTTTTGATCTCAACCGTCCATTTTGTTTTAATCTGGGCCGTCCGTGCGTTCAAATCTGGGCCGTCCGATCGCACGCTCGATCTGGGCCGTCCGATCGCGTCCACGCGGATCGCCAACGTGGCCCTTTTTGGAACGATGTGGTTTTGCCACGTGGCAGGTCTCGGTTGGCCGGGACTGCTGACCGGGCCTGCTGACGTGGCTTTTTTTTTTTCTTGGTCCGGGCGCTACACTCAGGGCCCATTTTGGCCAATCTCGGGATTCCGGCACAGCGGCTCCGCCGCGCTCCGACGCAGCACCGCCGCCGTCCGCCTCAGGTCGGCTGTTTTCGGCCGGATTTGACCAATTTTGCATCAATCCTTGCGAGAAAACATGTTAATGGGGTTCGATTGGACGAAAAAATACAAAAAATCAAAACTCACCGGCGGCGGGGCTCTCTAGTGCGGCGACTCATCCGGCTCACATTGTGGTTGAATGTTTTGCTCCAGTCAACCTGTAAAGAAGGAAACGGTGATTACAACGGTAGAAAAATTACGCTGAACGAGAATCGAGAAGAGCCTCATCAGAGACGTTTTATGGAATTCCCTGCGGCGGCGCCTTCGAATTTTGCCCACGTTTTCCGGCCAATTGGTTAGTCCTTTTACTCTGATTTGGTCATGGATGTGTTTAAAATTGATTTATGAGCAAATGGAAATTTTTTTACCTCTTTTACCAGTCGGAAAGGGCTTCGGTGCGGCAGGGGGTGGCGGCGGTCTCCTTCCTTGCGGCTGGGTCTTCTTCTCTGGTGAGGGAGTCTGGCGGCTAGGGTTAGGGTTTGATGTGGATGGAGGTTATTTATATCCGTCCGTTTTCTATCTGGGCCGTTCATCGCAATCAAATCTGGACCGTTTGATTGCGTTCAAATCTAACCGACTGATCACGTTTGGGGAGGGAACACATCTGGACCGTTCGTACGCGCGAGAATGTATCTGAGCCGTTCGATCGCGGGTACGTGGATCTCCTGCGTGGCACCGCGTCAGTGTCCGCTGCCACGCGGTGCATCCTGATTTGTCGGGGCTGCTGATCGGTCACCCTACGTGGATAAACTTTTCTAAATTATATTTTGACTTCTA